TTGAATCATAAAATTCAATAAGAAATTAAAAACAATAATATTTCCAATTTAAAGAAAACGTCGCTAAAGTGGAAGTAAGTACAAATATCATTGATAAATTGCAAGAATATTTGGAAATCCTCCAATCTTTAAAGGACCATTTTTATTTAAACTTTATGACTTGGAGAGCATTGAACGTCAATTTACATTACACGATTGTCCACGTACATGTGAAGTACATATACATGACTGAGAATCAAGAGCAAAATGTTATATTCTATGTTTGAAACAGCATTTTTCAGACTAAAACTTATTATGATGTGCCGACACAGCATCCAACAACCTGTTTTTTTTTACTTTTCACTAAGGCAATTTTCTTTTATAATGGTGCCCAAAGTTGCTATAGATATAGTAGTACCATCTGATTTAGGTATTTGGACGTATTGAATATATTTTATTGAACCGTTATCTAAAACTTTCAGACATACTTTCAAATGTTTTCATTCTTTCATGTTGGGAGGTGTCAAAAGTTTAATCCGTTCAAACTTAAGGGCTTTTTGTACCAACGTTTTTTATTCCAATCAAATGCTAATGACTCGTCATTTCGGCCGTTAGAACCAAACTCATCGACGCCAATGCACAAAATGTAAAAATTATGTGTCATACAAATAAATTCGAACAAAAAATAACAAACAATTATGAAATAACATTTCATTAATTATTGTTTTCTGTTGGTAGATTAACTCTTCTGAATGAATATTAAACATCTGATAGCCCTCATATAATATTCTATTTTTACGTTAGTCCATTAATTTTTTTACCTTTCACCATACTATGGATAGAATATAATTGGGATATTAAAGATTTCAATAACATTCTTATGATTTAATGTGGAATATTTTGTGTATTGTTAAATGAATGATTACGAAGAAGATTTGAGGGATTAATTCAATTTATTTTTATACCCTCAGCTATATGGCTACAGAGGAATGAAACAATTGCCAACGAAAAAGACACACGTTGTTTGGCAGCAGGCAAACACAGCGTTGGGTCTACAGCAGACGTTTACAGTAGATTATAATTTACAAAAAAAAAAGTGAATAGATGCTACTCTTGTCGGTTTCATGCATCTTCTTATTGAACATATTAGAGCTATTATGCAGGCGGCTACCATCACCATTAGAGATAAGTGCCCGGAGATGTGATGAAAATTCAACCCTTTTAGATTAAGCTGTGAGACATCGATCGTTTTCAACTGAGACTCTATTTCCGCTAGCCTTGCTGAATGATTTACCACCATGGGCCCTAAAGGCATGACCGAGAAATTAGACAGCCGGTATATGTCTGCTACGAAGGATGATTTGTCTTCCACGACCTTCTTCGATTCAAGATTGAAAGGTGTGGAAATTGTTGCTCCTTTTACCCTTAATGTACATCCTGGCTTCATCGTAACGATGCCTTGACTCGGTAGCTGGACTATTTGCTGTGAATCTCGCTTGCAGGATACGTGAGCTGTTGTTGGTTGAAAAACTTTGAACAACCAGCGGTTGTTGGCTTGCAGCTTCATCCATAGCGATTTCATCTTTGTCTCAGAGAACTGGCATCTCGGTGCATTTAGGGGCTTAAGAGAGTACACCTCCCACGAATGGTCATTTGCGTCGACCCATGGCCAATTACCTCCGCAAACATATTCATCGTCAGTGTACAGCTGACACATGTTTAACTCAGCTTGCGTCATTATATGATAGGCATCCCTGTGGAAATTATATATCAGATAATGTCCCGATGGTTGTGCTACAACTTTCCCTCCGTTCAGCCTAGTAGGCAGGGGGATGATCCGATGCAGCTGAGACGTGTGCTGCGTGAACAATGGAATATTAGCTGAAACCATCAGTCGGTCCACAATTAATGCTGCCTTAGCAGTAAGAAGTTTGTATATCGCTCTAATTTGATCATACTTTTTTTCCAGGAAATTTGAGGTGTTCAGGCATGTGCTCTCTTATCTTTGCCATTTCTTCCTGAAGTTGTAACGGCGTAATCAAGGCTGGATTGAGCTTCCCATGGTTAATGCCAATAAGCAGGTTTATCATGCTTGACTGTACTCTTTCGTTTTCGCGAATTATTGCGCCCAAATCTTTGGTTACCATGAAAAACCGAATCGACTCTCTATAAACGAAGTATGATTCTTCCAAAGCCGCCGTTTTGTTGTTCATCTGATCCTGTATCTTCTTGAAGTTGGTATTTACATCTTCCATAGTAGTGCGCAGAATATTAATCGTAGATTCAACGACCGAGGCTTGTTTTTGCATCATGAACTTCAGGTTATATTGATTTTCCAATAAGTTTTGCAAGCTTTCTTCTATTTTTTTCCGATCTTCCGCATCCATAGTTCCGAATAGGACGTGCTGGAGTGACCCGATGAACTCTAATGGCGCTCGTTTGGGCCTCCTACTAGTTCTCGAGAACAAGAACTCGTTAGTGTCTTGTAGACTCCGAACCTGCCTCTCCATAGTTCTTAGAATATTGTCGCACTGCGGCTCGAATATCTGCAACTTTACGCATAGTGGCATCATCGTTTTTAACACGGTCTCGCATTTCTCCATGGATTCAAAAAATGGAAGCATAGTAAAAACTATGATCATGTTCCATTTCGAGGCTACAACATTCACTGATCCAACCTGGTCCAAGAATAGTGCGGTTGACTCCTGCAGCTCTGTGATATTGGTTAAGCTGTCAGCGACCGTAGATTTTACATGAGTTAAAGCATGAAGCAAAAGCACTAAGTAGCCTGCCAGATTGCCGGTTCTCTTTCCACTGGAGCTGTCACGTTTTTCATCAGTTTTTACGCCTTCTAATGGGCACAACTTGTTCATGGATCTCTTTATCAACCCTGCTTGGGTTTTTAAAGTGGCGACTCTTACTAACCCATCCGGTCCTGGATGGACATCTTCGACTTTACCTAACGGCCATCGTCCAGGATGTGTTTCCTCATTCTTAACTATCACCACTTGTCCCCTCTGTATATTCTTTTTTTGGGTTTTCCACTTGTATCGTTCTTGGAGTGTTTCTAGATATTTGATTTCCATTGCTTCCAAAAACAATTTTTCATTTTCTGCACTTGCTTCCAACGATCTAGGGCTGTAATCTTGTGTTCGTCTCTCGTTTCTTATCAAGGGCATTCCGATTAGAAAATGTCCAGGTGTGAGGACTTCCACCTCGCCAGCATTATCATCCATGTTACAAAGCGGCCTCGAATTTAACACGGCCTCGATCTGATATAAAAGCGTAGACATTTCTTCCAATGTCAATTTACTCTCACCAATAACTTTTCGTAAATGATATTTCATTGATTTAACCGCGGCTTCCCATATTCCTCCGAAGTGGGGACTTGCCGGGGGAATAAAATGCCACTGCACTCCTTCTGTCGCTAATATAGGTGCTAGTGCGTTATTCTCCTTCATGGCGGCCTTTATATCTCTATCCAAATGTTTAACTGTTCCAACAAAGTTTGTGCTGTTGTCAGAATATATATGACTACTTTTACCTCTTCTGGCAAACAAGCGCTTTAGGGCTGCCAGAAATGCTTCTGACATCAAACTGCTAACCGGTTCCAAATGAATTGCCTTTGTTGTCATGCAAATAAATACCGCAATGTATCCTTTATATGTTTTCTGACCTCTGCCATTTGAACACATCATGTATATTGGTCCTGCATAGTCCACATCACAATGTGTAAACGGTGCTGATACATTAACTCTATATTCTGGTAACATTCCCATTAGCTGGCATTGATTTTCTCGTTTATATCGTATACATTTGACGCAACCCCGATTCAGCCGTTTTACGTTGTTTTTCAACCCAATAATACAAAATTTTCTTTTTAGCAAATGTTTCACTATCCGTTTTCCACCATGGAGCGTTTTCACATGTGCGTCCTTGATAATTAGATCACTCAGCTCTGATTTATTGAGTATTATAGGATGTTTATGATTATACGCCAGCGAAGCTAACTGTAATCGACCTCCAACTCTCAACACGCCATTCTCGTCTAAAAAGGGATTTAATGAAGCCAGCTTGTGTTTGTGATCAATCGGCGTATTATTTCTTAGTCTCGTGACAATTTCTGGAAATTCTTGTTGTTGATGGCCTTTTATTAAAAACATTTCCGCAGCTCGTAATTCTTCCACAGTCAAGTAGTCTGGAAAGTTTTTTCCGCGTAGCTTTGCGATATATCTGAGCACATACGCTATCACTCGCTTAAGTCTTGTAAACGATGAATAATCTTTTACCATATGATTGAAATAGTTGGGACCGCTGTTCGCATTTGTAACGGCCACATTGACGTACACAGGTTCCTTTGTATCCCAGCTCTCTTCATCTCGCATTAACCACGACCAGAGATTATTCTCTGGTAACTCGTCTGCTGATATCCCTCTGGATCCCATGTCTGCCGGATTTTCCTTTGATTTTACACATTGCCATTTGGCTGCTGGTACCCATTGTTGAATCTCCTTCACTCTTGTCCTTATAAATCGATCTTTACTGGAACTTTTACGGATCCATGACAGCGCTATCGACGAATCACTCCACATAAATACATTTGCTTCTATTGACAAAACTTTCATAACCTTTGTCATAAGTTTCGCTAATAAATTCGCTGCACACAACTCTAGTTTTGGTAACGTCTTCCTATTTTTAATGGGATTGACTTTGCTTTTAGCTGCTACTAGATGAACAACTCCATTCACTTTAACATAAACTACGGCTGCATAAGCCTTTTCCGATGCATCCGCGAATCCATGATACGTGCAACCATCGAGGTATTCGAATCGAAATTAGTGAGTTTAGCTTACTCGTGAACCCTCTCCATTGTTTATCCAGCTCCTCTATTAGTACATTATCCCATCCAATATCCATTACCCATAGTTGTTGAATAAAAAGCTTCGCCGTTATTGTTATTGGTGTTAGCCATCCTAATGGATCGAAGATTTTGGCCAAATAGGACAGGGCTTTCCGCTTGGTTATCCGTTGTTCATTGTAAAGTTGCGTTGTAAATCCAAATGTGTCACTTGCTTAAATCCATACTTTGCTAGACGTTTATTTATTTTCGCCTGTAATTCTTTACATCTTGAAACAGAATCTGCTCCGGTTAACAAATCGTCCATGTAGAATTCATTTTGGATAATAGCGCCAATGTCTTTATCTTCACATTGAGATCCAATTTCGTCAAGCGTCTTTAACGCCAAAAACGGCGCACATGCCGTATCGTACGTCACTGTCGTTAATCTGTATTGTTCTACTGGGCTTTCGCTGCTGGATCTCCACAACACACATTGGTATTCTTGGTCATCTTTATGTACCCAAATTTGTCGGTACATTTTTTCCACGTCTGCACTTATGACGAACTGATGTTTGCGCAATTTTGTAAGGATATCAAAAATATCTCTCTGCAATCTTGGCCCAGCGTAGAGAATATCGTTCAAGCTTCTTCCATTTGATGTCTTGGAAGACGCATCAAACACCACTCTTACTTTTGTAGTTATACTGCTTTCTCTGATGACAGCTTGATGGGGAAGGTAGTATTTTCCCCGTATTTCCGGCACTACTCGTTCCATATGCCCCATACTAATATATTCTTCCATAAACTGTTGGTATTCCATTTTTAGTTCAGGGTTGGCGCATAATTTTTTTTCAATGTTCAAAAATCTTGCCATAGCTCTTTTACGTGAATCTCCTAATTCAACGTCTTCCCTGAAGGGAAGTCTGACCATAAACAGGCCATCACTCGCTAACGATGTTGTTGAGCCATAATTTGACATACAAAAGTCATCCTCTGTCACTGCTTGTTTGTCGCTCACCTCCTCTATCTCCCAAAATATTTCCAGAGTAGTAGTAGCTACAATTTTCTTGCTGCTTCCCTTTTTTCCGTAGTCGGCCCCGACAGTATCCATCCTAGCTTCGTCCTCTGCGCCAATATACTATCTTTTTTGTGAATGCCATCTTGAAGGACTTCGTGGTAGACATCGCTTCCAATCAGCACGTCGATTCTATCTGACGATGTAAAGTCCGGATCTGCTAGCGTAAAATTTTCCCATTTATCTATATCGTATTCACACGTTGGATCCTGCTGAACTGAAACCAACTCAGGAAGTACGACTGCCTCTATATTCACAGCGAAATCGTTTAAAAATCTGGGTTTCACTTCGATAATAACTTTCGATTTGCTTTACCGACGACTGCTCCTCCAAGTCCATGCAGTGTTACATCTGTTCTTTGCTTTGGCAACTGCAATATCTGTACGGCTTCCTCGCTGATTGAAGACGCCTGAGCACAAGGATCGATTAATGCTCTCAAGGTGATGTATTCGTTTTGCTTCGATTTTACTCGTATCTGTGCTGTTGCAATTAATACATGATGCATTTCTTTAATTGTGGTAAATGTTGATTTTCCTTTGTTGCCTCCTGAAGCCGATTTTTCAATATGAAGGCTGGTGTGATGTCTGCCATTACTCATAAAGCAATTCGTTTTGCTAATGCATCTTCTTGTTGCCTTATGATTTAAACAGTTAGTGCACAGCTCGTTCCGTCTTACCCAATCAATCCTCTCCTTCACTGTTAATGTTTTATACTGCTGACATTGGTGAATCTTGTGCCCAAAACTTTTGCAATAACCGCATTTTGTTTGATTTTCTTCGCTGTTTGTTGCTGCCACTTCAAAACTGTATTGTCGCTTGAATCTCTGCTTATCTCCATCATCTATAGACCAAACTGAATTCAAAGTTTGATATCTTTGCTCCAAGAATTTAAGAACGTCGTTGATATCTTGAATTTCCGTAGACTTTTGTATTGTCTGTTCACATTGTAAAAGAGTCTCTTTATCCAATTTGCGCACTATTATGTGTGCCAGAATTGGGTATGCATCTCCCAGTTTCAAATTCATGGATTTGATTCCCTCAATGCTCTCTATATCTGCCAATAACTTCTTGATACTGTGCACTGATGATCCATTAATTTTGGCACATCTAATAGGCTGTCCACATAATGTGTGAATAGAGTCCCTTTATTGTCGTACCTTTTACGTCCCTTTATTGTCGTACCTTTATGCTTCCATATGCTGAACTAGTTAACGGCATGTTTTTAATAATCTGCAGTGCATCCCCCTTCAAAGCATTTTAAGGCATTTTTATCTTCGTGCACTAATGTGCGGAATAATTCATAAAATGAGTTCCAATCTTCACGACGTCCACTAAACTCTGGAATTTTTATTTTTTCGACCATTACGGATATTCTTTCTGCCGCTTCTAAAGATGTCAACAATTCTGTTATTTGCATCTGAGCTTTGTTGAAATCTTCTCCGGACTGCTCCCACTGATCTTCCGTAAAGTCATTTCCTGCACCTTCTCTCGCCGTTGAATGTCGAGCAGTCTGTTCATTTGGACTTCCAGTCTCTCAAGCAGTTTTGTTAAATATAACTTGTCTTTCTTGGTTTCGACCAGCTTTATCATAGAATTTAACTCTGCTATGTTAGAATTAAATTGATTTTCTAATTATCTTGCTAGTTTGTTGTGATTTTCATTTGTCACTTCACCCATTTCCATTAATTTGAATGATAACTGTGGTGCGTTTAAGCTATGTTCTTGTGGACTTAAATCTCCTTGTTGTGGACTTATTTTAACGGTGTGGGATTCTTCTGCTTCTGCATCATTTAAAATCTTCCATATGTCCTCTTTCATGTTATGTGCAATTTCATACGCTTTCTCCTTATAATAAGGGTCATTTTCACTCTTATCGTCCCTTTTTTTGAGTGCCTCATCATTTCTGCAGAATGTTTCCCATTGTTCTACCACCTTCTTACGCATGTCTGGTATGGTATTACTGCGATATTTCCTACCTCGCGCCGTCAGCAACATACCATCTAAAACTTTCGCTAAAGTGCACGCTCGATGGACGATTCCATCTTAAGTGCTAGCTTACAAAATAATTCTTAACCTTCCACACTATCTAGCAACCCTTATTTTCTATTCAAGAATACATATAAATTGGTGACAGACCAACGCGACTCATCTGTCGTACATTGTCTCGCCTGCATATCTCTTGTGGGGGTCATAAAATCTTTATTACATGCTCATTATCTTATGCAGCAGGCAAACACAGCGTTGGGTAGATTATAATTTACAAAAACTATTAAACATGGTCGTACGTAAATAGTTCAATACAAAATTATCACTAAAGTGAAAAGTAAATTCTATGTTGATAAGAATGTAAGTACTTAGCATAAAGTAAACTAAAAACTAAATAATATTTAGATAAGCGTGTGAAACACCAATTCCATTTCCACACACATGTTTGAGTCTTTCAAACACACGTAATGAAGGCAAAGCGCAATCGCTACCTGTTTTCCCATATATGAAAATTATTTCTTTGGAATACTAACACATTTAAGGTACTTCTAATGGTCCAAATTTACATATATCGTGGTTATTGACGAAACAATCCAAATGACACACAATGTGACGATGACATGGTTCGATGTCATCGCCGACACACTGCATTTATGGAGAACACCATGCAAATATTCGAGTCAGCCATGCCACGATCGAAACTTAAACAATGGCACACATGAATCAGAATGGGGGATGTTGTTGGTTGTCATTGTCTATAAAATACATAGCGCATGATAGAGTAGACAAAGTCCGTGTTGTCGAAAAATGCATAATTCATACAATTCGTCTTGTGCTGGCCTTTATTACACACATCACAATATTTGTATAAATCCGAAGTCTGGTGTGATGGTCTGGAAAGATGAAGTATATCGGTTTACTTTTTCTGGTACCTCCCTTACAAACCGTCAAAATTTTGATTATTCATGAAGCTAATAAAACCCGAAATTAACATTTAATTCCATTCAAACTTGGAACATCTCAATATTTCTATAATCACAAGATCTGTTATAAAGATGGTGGAGATTGGATCATTCCTTCTGAAAACGATCATAAAATCCGAAATAAGCATCCGGTTCTTTTACACACATCACAATGTTTTTATTAAGCCTAATAGGTTGTGAAGATGGAGTATTTCGGTCCACTTCTTCTGGTACCTCCCCTACAAAGGGTCAACATTTTGAGTATCCATGCAGCTGATAAAACGCGAAAATAACATCCGATTCCATTCAGACTTGATGCATCTCAATATTTCCATTAACACAATACCTGTTATAAAGATGATAGAGATCGCGCCATTTCTTCTGGTACCTCCCCCACATAGGTTTCAAGATTCTAAAAAAACAACACGCACAAATTTCCCACATGCAAACATTTTTGCTAACACAAGATCTGTTGTGAAGATGATATACATCTGCCAACTCCTTCTGGTACCTCATTCACAAATAATCATATGTCGGCAAAACCGACTGATACTATTTTACTTGTTTATTAGGAGTTTATTAACTCCAAAATAAGATAAGAATTTGGTTTAGGCATTAAATTATTCCTAGTATATTTGGCATTGCGAATGGAATATGGCGGTATAGCCCCATGCAACACTACTTATTACTGCTACTACAGTGGTAATTTGTTATATTCGGTTTTTTTGTGGGTAGATTAACTCCTCTAAATGAATATACATTTACATGCATATAATATTCTATTTTTACGATAGTACTTTAATTCTTATACCTTCTATTGTTGGCACATTAACACCTTCCGTATTGTCCCCATATAGCGGTTTTCATTTAAGTGGTAGTTTTCGGAATTTTTTAGCAATTTTTAAGTTCCTTCGAAATGGTTGAGGGTATTAAAAGGCCCAACTTAGCTTCTTTTTTACTTGTTTTTTTTTTTAAGTATGTATGTTCTTGATCAAAGTACATATATTTTAAGTAGAGGAAGTCTGCCTGTGTAATAACGTTATCTTAAAAAGAAAGGAGGCTAAATTTTGTTTCAAATTTGGTATATAGAGTTCGTTAAGGTTTCTATCTCGCATGTCATACCACATATGTACATGTTTTTCTATATCCCCCATGCAATTCTAATCACACTTATGGAATAGGGTATTATGTCTTTATGTTATTGTTTATAACACACATGAGGAATCGAAATAAACCCACACATCATTTTGATGATCTCCATAGAATCACATTCCGAACCGCTTTGCATGCCCGTCCCTCCTACAACATACAAAAATTGTAAGTTGCATTGTATCTGGGATGGCTGGTATTAAAAAGAAATATATCTGTCTACGTCTTGGTATAGCCCCCATATAACGGTACCTCTCTATATTCGTATTTAATGATTTTTGCAATATTGATAATAAGAGTTATTAACGGGTTCTAATTTGGTTGTCAGAACATTGGCTGTATATGTCCACGTTTTACTACAGCCACCGTATAACGGTACCTCCCGATATTCGGTATTTTAAAGATTTTAGCCACATTTTCCACGGATTTGTCTTAAAAATTGGTATTTGTAGTTCGTAATGGGTTCTGACTCCGGTGGCAGAACATTGTCTATAGCTTGCACATTTCTTCATGTTTCCCATATTCTTTTTCTGATACATTTTCAAGTGAAATTTAAAGTTTTTTCAATACAAGCCAAAAAAGTGTATTTTGCCTTAATAGTTAGTAGGTTTTTTTTTTTCTTTTAACTACTGTAAATAAAATAAATAACTTTTCATCCACACAGTAACCTGCGTTTTTATTTGAAAGAAAATATCACTTTTAAGCGCAGCTATGCTTGAAATGCAGCCATAGAATATACACTTATTAAAATAAGTATTGTAAAGCGAACTTTAAAAATTAGTAAAAATATGAAAATGAGTTTGGGTTAATTTGATTTTCGAAGTATTCATAATGTTGTTCATTAGAATGTGTGAGAATTCGAATGTAAAAATATTAAATGTGAAAAGTTTGACCTAAATATTGGTGTTCTTATGTCTAGCACGACATTAGCAATGACTTA